CTTGTTGAAGCCAATGGAAACCCTCTTTGTGACATCACGGTGTTTCGGGCTTGTATTACTGAATCTCTCTAATGTCCAAAGCTTTCCTTGGAAGAAGTTTGATGCTGTTTTATCAGATTATCTTTCTTTTTTTTTATTGGAAAAAAAATAAATGTGCCCTTTACTGTGTTTGGTAAGCTTTTATTCGAAACATAATTTAAAACAATAAATTATTTGGCAAAGGAGACATGATTATGAAAAAAAAAGGAGAAAAATTAAAACAGCTTCTGATTGTGTTTTTTTTGTTTGTTTTGTTTTTAAGTATGATTTATAGCATTTTTATATTTACTTCAAGTTACACTTACTTTCCCTTAAAAATTGCCCTTATTCTTTGGCTACTCTTTTCTTTTATTGCAAAATTATTCACCCAGTTTCTGGTTAGAAAGGCTTTGCTGGAATGAAATGATCTTTCAGTAGAGTGTACATTTTTATGTTTCCAATATTAACTAACCACTCAGGGTGTGATCTTGTTGAAATCAGAGGATTTTCTGTTATACAGGAGTGGAAATATTTAGCTTCTCTCTCCTCTCTCAGAAAACAAACCACATCCTGGAAAAAGAAACGTTTTACACAGAATTTATACGTGATAAGAAATTCATTCCACAAGTGGAGTAAGACCTTTAAAAGACCTTTATCTACCTCACAGAATAAATTTGATATGCCTTACAAACCATTATGCGAACTCTTCCTCTCAGTGCAGGCAGATACAACTCTCTCCTAAGTACTAACACCTAATTTCCATTCCATTGATGAAACTGGATGTGGAGGGAGACAAGTTCATCACAATGCACTTGTATATGATTACACATTAGACTGTAAAAATTTAACATTTATTTAGCTTCTTCTAATAAGCTTTTCAAAACCGATAGATCTGAGTAGCTTAAAACATCTGTTTGCTTGGGAAGATCATTCAGCAGGGTTGGGCATCCTGCTGGTGGGGCTGCTGAGACTGTTCAAAAGAGTCTGGTTGATATCTGCAGTATATGTTACAAGAGGGCAAAGGATGTTGATAGATTGAGCTTTATGCATGCAAACTGTTTCTCTAGCCATTTTTCTGGAAGATTTTATTAACAAGGTATATCAGAGATGCTTGAAAGCCTGGACCCAATCAGCAATACAAGATTAAAAATCATATAGCTTTTTTTTCCCGCTACATCTGAACAAGGCTTCCTAAGGACAGCTGCTGACGTGCAACTGAGATGGATCCCCAGGGATCTTATACTGATGAGCAGATACCAGTTTCATCTGTTTCACTTCTTCTGTTTTGCCACAGTCCTCTGCCCTAAAGCAAACCTGAAGTGCACTCTTTTTTACATTACTCCAGTGTGGTGGTAAAATACAGAATGATAGAGGAGATGCTAATGGAAATTCAAGCTGGCAAAGTGATTCTGTAGCAAAAATCCCTCACTGGCCAACTGCCCACACTATAAACCCATCTGAAGTCCTGTGATGATACAAATCACCTATGTCAGAGCAGAGTCTTATGGCCACAGAGTTTCCACTTGGAGCACCTACAACATTTTGCCTCCCTGTCAGTGTTAAAATAGACAATGCAGCAAGAGAGAAACCAGTTTTGTGAACATAAAGCAGGAAGCTTACATTTTCATAGAGTTCATATGTGTATTCACACAAAGGGAAGAAATGAAACAGCAAGTTTCTGATTTTGATCTTTTTTAAAACATTATGTATACCAGAATGATATACATTCTAGTGAATGTATATCATTCACCAGAAATCTTTACAAACAGAAAAATACACATGAAGGTGATTCCCTCAGCTTATTACTACATATTTCTTGGTCAAAATCAGAGCTGCAATATTTATTAAGTACATGAGAAAGATTAGATAAAGAATTTCATTATTTGCACTGTGACACTCTTTCTATGTGTTTTTAATACATAAGTATGATGTTTTGATGATTTCACTGGGAGATTTGAGGCCTCCTTGATTTCAGAGTAACTTGTTGTTTAGTTTTTAAATGTTGGGCCCAAGAAACATTCATGTGACTTGCAGAAATTCCTGAGTTTATAGGACAACTGGGTGTGTCTGAAGTTGAATGGTACTAAGACATGTGTAAAGAGTTTGAGAAACATGGATTTGGATGCCAGCATTACAAAGGTAAAATAATGCAACAAATTAATAAATAATAAAACTTTACAATTATCCTATTTTTCTAAGGATACCAAGAAAAAACTTGTGGACTATAGAAGTGATATATTGCCAGGACAATGTAGTGGAAGTTTGATAGAGCCTAACTTCACTATTACAGTGCTGTGCCAGTGGTGGGAATTACAGTAGGTTTGTAGTTGCCCTATATTTTAGCAGGGATGATCAAAAAAGAGACAGATATCCATATCCATTCACGATTTAAACTACATACTTGGGAGACTGTTATAAGTAGAGATCAAAGTAATGATGGTAATAAACAAAAAAATAATCACTAGTATAACAGTGGAACAGAATCTGTGCAAATACCTCCCCCAGAATTTATTACCAGGTACATTTTATCTGGATTCTGTTGAAGTGGTGGCAAGAGAAAGGCAAAAGGATAAAAGCAAAGACAATCAATATTTCAGTATTTTCAAAAATAAATATCCCAAACCTGTTCCACTACATCATTAATAAAACAAAAATATCCTCTTTTCAAACTCTCTGAAAGGGTAGCAACACTTAAAATGTTTCCTAGCAAATTGCTTTACAAACTAGGGTGCTTCCCAAACTCAAGCTCTTTCATCATTTTAATTTGATAAAAAATTTGGTTGATATAATTTTTCTCACTGGTTCACATTGATGCATACCTTGAATTATTATGATTAAAAATTTCCTTACCATAAGATACTATGTACTTGTTGCTTTTCTCTTACGCCAAGTAGATCAATAGTTATACTGAATAACTATTGAGGAGAGAATCAACCCTGATTTTCAAACTAGTTAGAGCTTTAGATATGCTGGTTTCAGAAAATCTTCCTCTCTGACTCTTCACTTTCAGTCTGTAACACAGTCTCTCTGTTGGTGTCATGATAATTTTCTGAAGTAGACCCCCTGAGACATTGGGTCATGAGGCTTATTTCACTTCATATGATTTGTCTTAGATGTGAATACAGGTTGTTTCTTGGGAAGGGAAAGTGTGCTACATCTACTACTCTGGAGGAGCAATGAGCTATCACGACAGCTGAATCACTTCCCATTCTAGTGAAGCCCATTGAAGAGTCTCCTTTGTCCTGTCTCCACCTATTTAAGCAATCAGCAAATGTTGTGAGGAACCAGCTTTCTTAGATTATTTCTGTTTGGGAATAAAGTTATAAAGCATTTTTTCCTTATGCTATTTCCAATTGGAAATACCACAAGGAAGCATGTTTCTCATTATATTTCCTACTTGTTCAAGTGTATTCCCATGCCAAGGGAACAGCTGAATCAAAGGACAGGCAATGCCCCAGTTTTGATGCAAGCAAATGGCAAGTGAGAGTGAATTGCTTCCCTCAACATTTTATTATTTTTTAAAAACCTTTTTTCCCCAAATTGTTGCAAAGTTTGATTCAAAATGAAAACAGGTTCATGGTTTGGGAAGCCTCCATAAAACCTTACTCATCGTTTCTGACAACAGCCCCCTAGCTAATTTATGTAAACAGGAACCCTGTTTACTTTCTGGTGTTATCTAATAGGATTCAGCAAAATGGAGTCTGGGCTCTGGTTGAGGCTGCTTTTGTCTTGCTCTGTCCTCATGCATTTGCTGGAAGACTGAATATGATGCCACTACAGTTCACTTTTTTCTTTAGTCTTCACTCCATCAAAATCTTTTCCTTGTATTATCAATATGTTTTGGACAAAGTTATTTTATATTTGTCCCAGGTGAAAAACAGTCCTGACACATTTTGCCACAGGGCAGGGAAGAGAATGGGAACATCTCTTCTATCCCTGGTATTACCTATGACTGGTAGAGCATGGGTTCCCTCCTCATACACAAGTCCTGCTCACCCTTCTGGGACTCCAACTGATCAGTATTATTATTTCTTTCTGTTGGTTGCTTGTTGCTTGGTTCTTTTTGCAGTGAACGTCATCACTGCTTAATAGGCAGTCCTATGTATATTATTTATATTCCACCTAAATCTGAAAAAATAAATAAATAAATAAAAGGAATTACATGAGATGTAAGCAGTTCATTGGCCTCTGTTCAGTTGACCTTTTTTTTTTTTTTTTTTTTTTTTCGGGGGTGGTAGGGGTATTAACTTAGAGGACCTGACTTCAGAACGACTGACAATGTGGTTCACATCACATTGTCAATACACCAACATGGGCATGCCTCCCCATTTCTCCGCAGTCATGTTCCAACACAAGAGGACCATGTTGGTGTGAAAGGCCACTGGTCTCAGCCAGGCCTGAGTAAGCAGTAAACATCTCTGCGAGACAAGTTGTGCTTGTGCATATAGACAGCCTCTGTGCATTCTTCTTGGCATTTATGCCTCTGCAGGGATATCACACTACATAGCAGGCAAAATGTCATCTTAACAAATGGACACAAATGTAGGAAGCTGACAAATCATGCCCTCTGCAAGCGTTTTGTTGTTGCTGTTGCTTGTTTGTTTGTTTTTCCCAGGGAGAGATTTCTAACAAAAAATGTCTAAATTGCTGTCCATTCCGAGCCTTTGTGTCTATAGTTAGAGGGAGGTATGCCTTTGACACTCCGGGTCATTTCTGGATTAACTTCAAAAATGAAAAAGAAAAAGGTTTCCACTGCCACAGAAGAGAAATTGAGTTCTGTTTAATCAGGGTTTCTTTGTGGGGCTGGATGTGGGGAAAGTAGCTGGGTTTGAGGGGTGGGGGGAAAAGGAGCCTAGAATGTTTTTTTGTGAGGATAATTAAATGATTTCTATGTCATAGGAATTTTATTTTATGTTTTTCATACTCATAATAATGTTTGGTGTTTTTAATGCTTTTTTTTTTTTTTTTTTTTTTTTTTTCAGATTTTCTTTCTTAAATTCCTACTGATGGAGAAAGTAAGATTGTTAAACTAATAGAATAAAGGAGTCTTACCCATCTTTTATTGTAAGTATCAATACTGTGACTTCTTTTGCTCCCAGGATGGTTTATCTTGACAATATTTCAACATAGACTATTTTTTTCCTGCATCAAACATTGTGGTTTAAGAAAAAATAAACTGCTATACAAAATTGTGAATACTTTACAAAAGGGGAAACTGAGGCAGAAGGAGATTATATGTTGTGTACTGAGTTCAGATCAGTGACAAAATTGTAAATTCTTTTGGACTTAATCAGGGTTCAGTAGCTAATTTGTTACAGAGACACCAATAGGCACTGGGTTTCTCTGTATCCTGCTCTGAGTAATTTTTTAATTAAAGCAGAATGTGAAAATATTGAATGATAAAATGCCAGAAATAATTACGATTGCAATACCAATCTATGTTAATTTTATGACAAAGCACTGTATACTTTATTATGTATTTTTATGGTTAAAAATAATGTGTATACCAATAATCCTTTTTATTACATTTTAGGATTCTGGTGTGACAAAACAAAACAAAACAAAAAGAAAAGAAAAAAAAGAAAAAAAGTAACTTGTCACTTAGTAATTCATGTGGAAAGAGACCTAGTCTGCAAGAGGACATTGTCAGCTGAATGAAAGAGATTAAATTGATAAGAAAGAATAGAGGTCTGCTTCCTTCATTGTCTTGGAAAATACATTTGTTAGGCAGCTTTCCAACACAGAAAAGAGAATAAGACACTTCCTTGGACAGAAAGATTAGTAGTTGGAATAACAGTCTTTCATGATAAACAAACCACGTCTTCTTACCCTTTTAGGATTTGAGTTGCTCTCCAATTACACTTCCCTTTTATCAAGATGTGAACATGACTGCAACTGTAATTTAAAGAGGACCTAAACTTTAACACAAGGCTTTTCATTTAGGTGCTTTAATATCTGTTAGCCACACTCAGGTTTTGGTTGCAGATGCCTACTTCTTATTCAGTGGCAAATGTGCTTTCTTAGGCTATCTGATATTTCTGTGACAAATTATTGGTAACACTCTGATCCATATAAAAAATACTACGTAAGCATAATTGCATGATATGCAATTATTTGGCTAATTGTTAAGATTTCTTTGACAAAATAAAGCAGATGAGTTCATTTCCCTGATCAAAGACTCCAAACATCATCTACTCAATGAACTTTCATATCTGTAAGGGATAGCAGTTTATGAAAAAACATTTTCCATATAGGCCTTAGCTTAAAAGAAACATTTGGTTAACAATAATTATATAGAGGGAGGGAGGACCACAATAAAACAAGCCATTGTTTCTTCAAAGAGTTGTTTAATGTAAAAGACCATTATCAGTAGAATAACTCTGATAATTTGACAGTGGGTCAATGTGAATTTGCAGCTGTTCCGAGTTCCCACAGACTTTTCTCCTGTTTAAAAGCTTGAACAAAAGCCAAATATTTCTTTTGACTGTAACAGGCTTCAAATAAGGTCTAATATTCAAACAATGCATTTTATATAATAATCCAGCTCAAGATAATTCCTGAATTACAAGTAACACAAATACCTGTATATACACACCATGACATAACTTGAAGTGTTCACCTCAGTAACATCTGCTAACTGCCCAAATCTGACCTTACTTCCAACAGAAATGACTCAATCATATCTTATATTGACTTCCCACCTCCTATGTAGTTGAACATTTTCATGGGGGCTTTCAAAGATCTGTCAATTACTTGTGAAATTGATGATAGAAATGCAGATGTGAAAATGTGCAAACACAATTGTAAATTGTTTCAAATGTCATTGAAAATTGGACTGTATGCATAAGTAAATCAGTTTGTAAAATACCTTCAGTGGAAGTACCTTAATGAGATTTATTTTAAAACAAGAAAGCTAATTCACCACAATTTTATGCTGGACAATCTTATGCTGAAAAACAGTATCAGTGTATTTCAAACTTTTAAAAGCAACTGAAGTCTCATAGGTTTCCTTGCAGTTACAGAAGATAGTAACACAGTTCTGCTTCTTAACGATTAGAACAGACAGAATGTTTTTTTTTGCTATGGAGTAACAGCTTATACTAGTATCCTTCTTCCTCATTCCTCATGTCATTGTGGAACATAATTAATATTAAACATATTCCAAAGAATTCCTGTAGATGATGAGGTTCATACCCCACACAGTCTTGTGCTTTTAGAATAAACCAAGCCTAAGAGGTGGAATTCTAATGTCTTTTGGAAGGCATTAGTTCCTCAAGGAAGCTGGATTTCTTGCACATCTGGCATAGTCAGGTCCCTTGGTCAGATGTCCTATTCAGACACAAGAAATTAAGGATGTACTAGATCTCATCTCTGCCCACTTATCTCTGTAAAATTATAGCAGATTCAAAGGCTGTAAAACTGGAAAATTCTAGTTCCAACAAAAGATTTTGCCACTGATACTCTGACTACATCCACAAAGACAGTTAGCTGCCTAACACAGACTTCAGTTTGATCTTAATAACATTTATGGTAAGTTTTGTATTAAAAATGTTGTGGAAAAAAACTATGTCTTGTTCATTAAATTCTCTTTTTAAAGTACAGAAATTGTACTGTTTGGATGAAAAAAAGTGTCCTGTGAAAAAATTCAGTCACCTCTAGCAAAGAGTTTGTATTACCTGGTTCATTAATGCCTGAAAATGACAGATTAAAACACATCACTCCTATATGTCTCTATAAAATAAAATGAAAAATATGACAGTAGCATCCCATACATCCTGTAAAGCTGTCATGTTTCTCCCAAAGGCAGAAATACACATTGCACTCATTATATGTGCCGTAAATTTCTGGGATTTTTATTTTTATTATTTTTATTTTTATTTATTTTTATTTTTTTTTCAAAATCTTAATATTTAATTTAACAACACTTCACCAAAATATTGTGCTTACAGTACTAGAGATGGTATTGCATTCTGTAGGCATTGATATTACAAACATATGTGATTCCTTGAAAGAGTCCTGTTAGTTAAACTACTCTTATTGATGATATTGAAATGATTATAATCACTTGCTTGATGTGTGAGACAATATTAGCAGGGCTGCTGACCTTTTAAAGTCTGCCAGTAGGGACATCTGAAAGCTTTTCAGGAAAAAAAAAAAAAAAAAAAAAAAAAAAAAAAAAAGCTGCTTAAAGCTGCTTACCGCATTTCAGAAAGCTAACCAGCTAACCAGATGCAGAGAATTTGACCTCCTTCATTCCTGTCACTTGGCCAAAATTAAATCTCTATAGTGTCCTAAGGGCTATTTGTGTAGCATAAATCAGCACACAATTAAACCTATTAGAGTTCATTTGGCTTAATAGTTGACAATCAAGTTTTAACAAGATGACCAAGGAGCAGTGTATATCTGTACGTGATACTACGCACCTAGCTAACCTCGTTTAATCAGTATTACTGAGACATATATAAACTGGTCAACACCACCATTGGATTGGAGAACAGAGCTTTTCTAATTCCCAGAAAAGTGAATCGTGGGAGGACCCGCAGAAGCAAAAAACTTGAGATTTCAGAGCTTGATACAACTGTGGGAGAAACTACAAGATATGCAATAGCAGTGGATTAGGTTTAGGGTTCAAGGCATCGTTTTTTGCTGGATTAGCAAAATCAGGTTGAAGCACCTCTGCCCTCATCTGTGCACTTCTCCCATCTTCCCAGTGGTGGGAGCTAGATGTCTTCTCCATGACAACACCAACTCACAGCCCACTACATGCACTTGCTTAAACTACCTTGTGTAGACTTCTCAGTTAGTCCTCTGGGAGGAAATGAATGTGTTTAAACATTTTTCTGCCACCCTCATTACAGAGTAGTCTCCACCAGACCACTGGTGAGTGTAACACAAGATCTGTCAAATCCTTCAATATGAGGGAAAGCTTCAGGTGAGGGGGATTCTATCACAGTGCAGATGGACTCTCCATTTTCTCACATGAGTAAACTACATGTCACTGTAGTATCAGACCTGTAAATCCAATAAAGTATAGGACATCAATGTGCCCCTGTTTGCACTGTGAGCTGCAGGACTGCTGTCCTGTGTGACATCAGGCCTGCAGTGTTTTCTGTGCCTGGCTGCCACAGAAAAACATGCTGATCAAAGCAATGTGGCCCCTAATATTGCCTGGACTCCCTGAGACTCCCTATGTTCATTTGATCTAATTTGATGTGTCTGTGAACCCTACCCTTAGAGTAACACACACATATGCTAAAAGGGATAGGATTTTAAATGCTGAGAGATGGTTACTAACTCTTCCAGTGAGAGTGTACATGGTGCTACAGAAGCCATTTGGCCCAGGGTGTATCTGGTATAACCTGGTGAGAAAGCATACAGACCATTTTTGCATGCTATTATTCACCTGACTGTTAAATCCAAAACACAGATGCTTTTTGATTTCCACCATATCTGGCAAATCTTGTCTTTTAAGCCTATGTGGAGAAAGCAGAAGAATATGCAAAGCAAGCAATTTAAAGTCTGAACCATGACAGTGTAGACTTGTAGCATCTCTTTCTAGTAAATTCTTGAGTAAATGGAGACAAATTGAAGTTAAGGGTTAAACTGATTTCAGAAGGCACTGTTGGAACACAAGATTCTGAATATTGAACAACAGGTAGCTCAGGCTGCATAATCAAAAATGGAGGCAATCTGACTTAGGAACTGCTTTGTGAAATGTTGCACTCAACTTCTATATGTTTCAATATTCTTTTTTTTAATGCACAGAATAATACTTACCTCACATGGAGTAAATTATGTGCTTGCCAGCACACAATACATCAGTGGCAAAGACGAGGATAGAACCCCAGACTCCAACCTTGTGCTTTAAACACTAGCTGCACTCCCTTTCCTTTCTAAGTTCAAGCTCTGGCTTTATCCCTTTTTATTTTGGGTTTTATTGTATTTTTTTTTATCCACCATTAAAGAGCAGCTTATTTCAAGAGTACCTTTTATTTAAACTAAATTGACTTTTAAAAAGAACTTAAACTTCCTCAATATATTTTGTTTCCTTTTGCTTCTGTCTCTCACATTTGTCTTGAAGTGCTTTTAGCCATAGCCAGACCTGAAAGAGGAAGATACCTCTCTTGGCTTCCAGAAAGGCATTTTTTTACCACTGTACCAAGACAGCTTCTGGACAGCAGAGAATTCAATCTCAAATTCAGCTATGTATGGAGTTAGTATGTGTCTATCTGATTGAACCTTGTAGACCTACCATGGCATAGTTTGTTAATGAGGATAAAGGAATGGATTCTATATTAAATTCTATTGCCGCCTCCATTATTAACTTGACAGGCAACCCTGGACAACCCACTTCCATTCTCTGGTTAGTTTTTCTGTATGTTGTCTCTCTTGTTTATTAAATCTATAATTCCATAGAATTGTATGCCCACATTTAGATTACTCATTACAGCCATTCAATTTTTAAAAGTGTAAGATCTGAGCAAGCATCTTCGTAAGGCATGGAACAGATCTTTGTAAGTGTTTATATGATGTGTAGCACAGTAGGAGCCTAATCTTGTCAGGAGAATTTACA